TTTTTTTTTTTTTCTTTTACTTTTTTTGATAGTTCAGTGATAGGAATCAAATTTGAGATATAATGTTGCTTAATGCTAACCACTTAAACCCAAACTTAATTCCTAACTTGTCCTTTTTAGGCATATTAGAAATGGATTATTTTCAAGAAATCGTCATTGGGATAGACTTCAATATTTAATCAACAAAATTTATAGCAAAAGGCTAATATCATATTTCACTCCAAACTCCTGTAAGACGTACCAAACAAATTACCAAGAGAAACTAATTGCATAAGAATTTCCAGACATGTTTACCAAATATGGTAAAAGACATGCTTGAGGGGCTATTTCCTCTAGATCCGTTTTCATATGGAAAGAACTTTATATATGTAAAAACTAGTTCACATAAAGCAAAGGTTCTGTAATTTGCTGGGGCTTTGGTTTTTGGTCGGTAAATTTGGGCGTTTGAGGTTTTCTTTCTTGTCGGAAAATTCAAGCTTTCTTTTAAGGGAAAGTAGACCGAAATAAGTTACAGTAAAATTTGGATCATTTTACACTGAGGTTCTCTTTTTATCATTTTTTTTCTTCCAATTTTGCGCCCTAGCGATATAGAACTGACCATACTTTCCCATATTCTTGGTTTTGGTTATGAAGGGTGTAGAAAACTACTACATTTGAACCACCTTATTTTTGGAGCGGTTTGAAAATTGTAATCTTAAATTGTCTCATCATCAGCATAGCATTTTCCCAATCTCAAAAATTATAACCTTGAAGGGTCTCATCATCATCATGGCATTTTTCCAATCTCGAAGTGTCTCACATATAAATACCTCCCAAGCATGGAGTGGTTCAAAGATGCCAGCATTGGATTGAACCTTCGAACAGCTCCATACTTAAAAAAAATCCACGTGTGGAGTGCATTGAAGGTTGCGATTTCTAACCAATCCATACTTCAAATACTTTGAAGGTTGCAATTTTTAAGTATAGAGCAATCCAAAGGTTGCACCTTTGAGCAACTTTGAACCGTCCTAGAATATTTTGAGGGCTGCAATTTCAAAGTATAAAGTGCTCTTAAGATAGAACCTTCAAAATGCACCGTACTCGAGAAATATTTGTACGTGGAGAGGTTCAAAGTTTCTACTTTCGAACCGCCCCCAAAAATAGGGTGGTTCCTATTCAAAACTAAAACTGAAAAATATAAATAAATAAATAAAGGAAAAAGTTTATATAAGGCTGCAACCTTAACATATAAATAAATAAATAAAGGAAAAAGTTTATATAAGACTGCAACCTTAACATATAAATAAATAAATAAAGGAAAAAGTTTATATAAGGCTGCAACCTTAACATGTAGAACTACGGATGCACCTAAAAAATCCATCGGAAAAGGTAGTTTTAATGTTGAAAAACCCTTTGATTGATCATCTCGACGTCGAGATGTATGACCATGAAAATAAAAAGATTTTAAATCTCAAAAACAGTGCATTTTACAACATATTATCTACACCGTCCATTTTCAAGATTTTCATATGTTTATAGATCTACTTGATTTTAACCATTTTTAAAATTTAAAATTTTATAATTAGATATAAAAATAAATTTTGAGATAATCCGAAGGACATTTTACGTCAAAATTATATACCATGATAAAATTTGAAGGTGCACCTTACCTCTACGGATGCATCCGTATGCCAACTGCACCCATAAATAAATAAAATGATCAGTACTGATGCATCCGTATGCCAACTGCACCCATAAATAAATAAATGATCAATCCTACTATGTTGTTAACATCAGCAATACTGCAACTTGTTTCCAGTCCATACATCTGATCCAAATTTTGGACCATACAGCAATACTGCAACTTGTTTCCAGTCCATACATCTGATCCAAATTTTGGACCATATAGCAATACTGCAACTTGTTTCCAGTCCGTACATCAATTTTTATTGTTTTAAAAAATCCATATATGCATGTGAGTCCAAATGGTGGAATTACGGAACATAAGTTTTATCTCTATGCTATCCAAGAATCATAGGCCCAAAATCCAAGTTCAATTTTACCCGAATATTATACCTAAAATACAAGTTGAAAATTTACCCAAATGTAAGAAACCTGGGTTTTCCCAGAACTAGGTTTCTATTTCCTCTAGTAAATATCGTCAACTCATTCTTTATTCATATGTTCCTTTTTTCTTTTTTTGGAAATCGTTTTATCATTTGTTTACTGATTTGTTGTAGATCTTAACATGCAATGGAGTGAATCTAGTAATGTAGACCAAATTGTATCCAATTCTTTGATTGCACATATCCACATGAGAATTTGCTTTTCATTTCACTCTAGTAACCGAAGAGTTAGTAAACTGGTTTTCAAGAAGAGTGGTGTGAAAGTAAATGATGTGGTAATGCATAAAGACAATAAAGAGTTGTTGCCGAGTTGTTGCAGTCATCCATGGCACTAATCAGTGGGTCCTGATTAACCTTGATCCTTCTCTCAATAATGAGTGCTTAGATGTTCTCCACGAGACTCATGGATTTAAGCACTGATTAATGAGACAATGATTAAAGTTAATCAAGACCCATTTTTTGCCTCGCTGATGTATGTCATCGAGGCATCTGTGTAGTAGATGTTGCTTAGTTTGACTATTGCGATGCTTCTGGGTATGTAATCTTAATTTGTTGATGATCTTCAATAGCTGATGTTAATCAGAAAAGCAAATGAACAGAGGGACTCTGACACGATCAGACACGCTTCTTCAATTACATAAAGAGCAAGTCCGACATGCATGGAGACCACATCGGACATGTTGCAACCCTTCTAGAATCAGACCACCCAATAAACTGAATTAATTTGAATTATTACTTGTGTGCGGAGTGCTTGAGAGAGTTAGTTTTCACCAAGAGAGATATTTGCAATAGAGCCAAGCCATCAAAAGCAATACTGTAGATCCAAAACACCAACTCTGAAACCACTTCCCCAGGACACAACACCTTGTACCCTTTGTAGGATTTGACCATCCATTCAAATGAAATAGATTGTATCCATCACACTCTTACTAAATTGTGGCCATGTAAAATGGGAGTTCAGTGGCACAAAACCTGTCAAAACGAAAATGAAATGAATACTAGGGTAGAGAAAGGGAGAGACACTTTATACAAACAAAGAAAAAAATCAATAAATATCTACATCCCTAGGGTATTCCATTTAATGCGAACAATGCCATATAGTTCCAATGGGTCAAAAAAAAAAAAAAAAAAATTTAAAAATGCAACCTGCAAGCACCATTGCTTTAGAAGCCTTTCATATTATGGCTTTTTAGATTTGTCCCCAGGAAAGGATTTGAACTGCAGGCATTTCATCCCCAGTGCAAATCTGTAAACAATGACAATTAGTTATTATCCTCACCAACTGTAATCCCCATTTATCAAGACAACTTCAGAAAGCCAGATAATTAGGTCCTTTAACCAAATTCATGTAAGATCATATGGCTAAAGAGAGAATATCCAGTATAAATTTCATGCAATGCAACATAGAGAAAACAGTTGATCGCTTGCTGTGAAATGGTATTTAACAAAAGAAGTATCTAATTTCCACAAAGCAACTAAGTGACCCAAGGGTAAACCATTATTTAGAGAACAACCTGAGAAATCTGGTTCTCGTCCAAGTTAATCTCCGTCCCAACCATGCCTATGCCAATGTTTAAGTTTGACCTGGGAAAAGATGATTAAAATGCCATTGTAATGTTAGTTGAGCAAAGGTTTCAAATACGATCTCCACAACTATGCTTTATAATCAAGAAGGATGAGAAGTACTTACCCTCCACCCCTTACTATGGGACAAGTACGCCTATTATGACCTGTTCCTTTGCACACATTGCATTTCGTATTGTTCTTCGGTGGTCGTCCTCTAGAATTCGAGCGTGATGGTTCACGAGTCAACGATTGTGGCTCGATTTCCATAGCTTGGAATCCAGCATCGAGAGATAGGCTAGCCTGGTTTGAGGAGACAGGTTGATTATTTGTCACAAGCTTTTTCCTCTCAGCAACCTCAACAGCTAACCTTGATAGGCAAAGCCTCGTGAACTCATAAAGATCCTCACTTATGGCCCCATCTTCTGTGATCTGATTGACTAATTGACATAAAACATCATGGCGTATGGTGCGTGGTGCTTGGGAACCAGCTTGTATTTCAATGCCTTCCTCTTCCCTTTTCGCTTCCATTGTCCACCGCTTCAGTATGTAATGAGAGGGGAGTTCAACAACATGCTTGAGACTAAAGACCCTCAACACATGCCCACAAAGAATGCCAAATTTGTCATACTTGTGACAACTACAACTCACCTTCACTTCAGAAGCATCAAAAGTAACCAGGTGGGATGCTGTTCCAAACCCATGTTCGACCAATTTAAACGTGGTGATATACGCATCCTCTGTGATTGTTTCATAGAAACAATTTGTAGACTTGATTAGTTCCCGTTGAAACTCATCAAACATCTTAAGGGTATAAATTTTTGATGCTTGCTTCTCAATGTAAAATGGTGTCCTTAAAACTGGTGTTTCCGTAAGGGACTTGTGGTCAGCTGTATTCTCCTCATCAAACTTCTTGTCCACTAGTTTTTGGAAGGCAGTTATAAAGGTATGCAGACTTGTAGTGGACTTCACATAACGCTTCAATGAATAGTGTATCTCTTCGAATCGTTGGCTGGTCACTGTACCGGCCAAAAATGTATCCTGAAAGTAAGCATCAACCCATTGACTTTGGCAGTTAAGCAACCTTTGCAGCCATTCATTCTCTTGAACACCATATTTGTCCATGAGAGTTGACCAACATGCTTCAAACTCTTCTACCGATTGGCTCCCGATGCACTTCATGAAATCATCACGAAATGATGGATGCTTACGATCTATATGCCCCAACTTCTCATTGTACTTTCCAAGTAAATGCCACTTGCAAAAACGATGCCGAGTCCATGGGAACACTTTTGCAATTGCAGCAGCAATCGCTGGATCTTCATCAGTGACAATTGCCTTCGGGTGGCAATTGTTCATTGCTTGTAGCCATTGGATAAAAACCCACTCAAAGGTATCCACAGATTCATCATGAATCAATGCACCCCCAAAGAACATTGTGTCATTATGGTGATTGATCCCAATAATAGATGCAAATGGCATTTTAAATGAACATGTTTGATATGTTGTGTCGAAGATAATCAGGTCATTAAAATGCTTGTATGATATCCTGGACCTGGCTTCTACCCATAATGCACTTATAATATGGCCTTCTTCATTGACTAGAATGCGGTAGAAAAATGAGGGGTTCTTTGCATGCATATCGTTAAAAAAGCCCAGCACATTCATAGCATCTTGTCCCTTTAATTTTTTGCTAAGTAAGTAATTCTGACAATCCCCTTGGTCAACATTTCCAGACACACCAGCCCGCTCCTCATTGTAGAGATCAATGAGGTCTCCGGAAGGATCGAATATTCGCTTACGCATGCGTGTGAAACCAACTTCACCAGGAGTAAGAAACTTATGGCAATGCTTTTTCACAAAACTGCTGATAACCCATTTGCCATTATTAGATTTCTTAATACGAATCATCGCCTTACATCCAATCCTTGAATGAGGCCGCTGTCTCACTTTGCCATCACGCACATTGGCATCACGTTTTGGCTTGCGCTTACCTTGCCTGAAACAATAAATGTCCCGAGCAATGACTTCCTTGTTTGCCCTTGATCGTCGTGTCTTGGCCCAACGTGTGCCAAACCCCACATGCCTTGCATAATCAGTATAGAATTTATAGGCTGCATATTCAGTGTCAAATTCCATGCCCACATATGGTTCCCCCTCTTGAACTGGCTCCTCATCCTCATCTTCATTCTCCTGGGTAGATCCTGACCCACCAGCCTGCTCCTTTGACATCAATTGTGGTCGTTTTGACATAGCTGATGCATAGAGAGCAAGGAGCTTTTTTGCATCATCGGATATTCGCCGATGTGATCTAATGAGACCAATTTTATCAGGAGCCAAAAACTTATGACAATGGTCCTTCACAAACTTGGAGATAACCCATTTGCCTGTTTCAGCTCTCTTGACACGAAGCATTGCCATACACCCTACCCTCAATTGAGCACGATGTCGCCGTTTGTTATCGTGTTTCGCATCACGCCTACCCTCCCTCCAACAATAAAAATCACGACCAATGATTTCGCTATTTGTCCTTGACCGACGTGTCTTAGCCCGACGTGTGCCAAACCCCACAAGCCTTGCATAAGCATTATAGAATTTATAGGCTGCGTCTTCAGAGTCGAATTCCATGCCCTCATATGGCTCTACATCTTCAACTGCACATATATCTGCCTCGTTACCATTCTCATGCTCAATCACTTCTCCGTCCACCCCCAAGGAAAAGCCTGAGGGATCTAGAACCATTTGAGATTCATCACTAGCTCGGTCCCTTTGAGTAGATCCACCATTTCCCAACCCACCAGCCTGCGCCTCTGAATTAGACATCATCTGTGATGGTTCTAACAATGCCGTAGTGTGGAAATCAATGAGGCTCTTCGCATCATCGAGTATTCGGCGATGTGAACGAATGAGACCAACTTTGTCAGGAGCCAAAAAGTCATGACAATGCTCTTTCACAAACTTGGAGACAACCCATTTCTCACTATTAACTTTCTTAAGACGAAGCAACGCCTTACACCCTATCCTCGTAACAGGACTCTGTCGTGCATTGCCATCATGTTTCCCAGGGGTCCTACCCTGCCTAAAGCAATAAATGTCCCGACCAATGACTTCCCTGTTCCTCCTTGATCGACCTGTCTTAGCCCAACGTACGCCAAATCCCATACGCCTTGCATAATCATTATAAAATTTATAAGCTGTATACTGAGACTCAAATTCCATGCCCTCATATGGTTCACCATCTTTATCTCCAGATACATCTGCCTCCTCGCCTGTAAGAGTCAAAGCCCTCTCATCATTAGCATCATTGGCATTCTCACTCGGAATCACTTCTTCATTGCCCTCCATGGAAGTGCCTCCAAGATCTATAACACTTTGAGATCCTCCGGGATCTATAACACTTTGAGATCCTCCGGGATCTATAACACTTTGAGATTCATCACTTCTATGGTCCTGATCTGAATATATAGGAGATGCACCACTATCAAAGCTAGTGTGGTCCATGACAATCTTTCGAGAGACCTGTTTACCAAATAGGAATCGGTCAATCTTTTAAACGACATGTATTGAATAATGCAATTCTTAAAACAAGAAAAATTAGAAAACAACATACTACTCTAGTTCATCATTTCCATATAAATGAAGCAAATAAGCAATATGCAATGATGGGATACAGTTGCAATAATATTTAAAATATTATAAAAAATTTGGTCATATATGGATATATAAGCTTGAACTTATGGACAGCATTTGGTGACTTGATCTACAACAAGCTCAATAACTACACATTTTTTTTATATATATGCAAAAAGGGCCACATGGATGGTTTTCCTCTGTATACTAAAAAATATAATTTACACAACAGGTGGATATAAAAACTATATGTGGGCCATCAACCTAAGACAACTTCAAGATAATCTTGAACCTTGAAGAATAATGTCTGAAACTCACTTTGGGCTGTTGGGTACCACACTGGAACTGCCTCCTTACATGGGCTTTAATATTTTTCATTTGTAAATAAGATAACTGTCAACATCCCTTAAGAAAAGGTATAAAATACTCATTAATGTATGAGCATAAATGTTTGGTTATCATCTCACGCTAAATCATTTCTCGTGAGCCCTGTTCGCCTAAACTATCAAAAACAAAAAACAAGGAAATGATCTCCTGAACAAGGGGCATTGGAGCTTAGATGTGCCTATTTGCATCTAAACTATAAGCTTTGAGGATCAAGTTAGAACCACGGGAGAAGGAGGAGGATACTATTAGATTTATGCATGCTCAACCTACAATCTAGTCCTGACAAACGCATTAGAAGTCTAATTCATGATCCAATTGTCAAAGGAAAAAGGTTTGGTGATCGACTAGTCCTCCATCAACAAATGCTTAGGTGCCCAAAAAACATAGCGAGGGGGGACTTTTTTTTATCTGAAAATTTTCAGATCATCTTTATTCACTTGTAAGATCAATTTCATATAAAGAAAATCATTTGCGTAACGATGAGTATGGCATCTGAACCATGTGTAAAAAACAGTGTTTTAAAATGCGGTGGCATCAGGCGCTATGCGCCACCCGCACTTTCCCACATATGCGGTTTGAAGAGATGCACCCGCATAAGAGCCGCATCCCTCCGCATCAGAGCTGCATCCCGCATCAGGCCACATAATCTATCTACCATTTTTTTCAAAACCGTACCCCTCGGGTAAGGGCAATAGGGTCATTTTGACTTTTGAAAAATTGGGGGAAAGGGTTTCGGGAGCTATTAAACCACCCAAACAACATTTTTCAGCCACATCCGTGGCTTTTATTGGATTGATTGAATAAAAAATAAATTGTGGGCAAAAATTTTATTTGTTGAAATTCTTCGATTTGTAACACAAGATACTACAAACTTAAAGTCCATGAAGATTAAAAGTTACAAATCAAATAACTTTTCCTAGTACTTTTCAAATAAAATTTGTAACTATAAAGAGTTTCATGGACTAATACAGTAAAGTTACAAACTAATGAGTTTATAAAATTTATTGATCTTCATAAATGCTTTGATATCGTAAAGTTACAACATTCTTATAAATTTATAAAGTTTATAAAAAGTATACAAATCAAGTCAAAGAACTGCATGGACTTCATGGACTCTTTTCAAGATTAAAGAGTTTATAAAATTTGTAACTTTAACGTTTTTTGTTGCAGATTTGTGCTTATGGTTGTTGATTGTTGAATATTTTATAATTCTAGTTTCAAGTTTATAGTTTCTATCAGTGGATAGTGGATACAGAATCTCCGTCAGCTAATACTTTTGGAGTTAATGAATAATCTAAATACCTACTATCACATATATAACCTCCATATTTTTTTCTATACATTAAACTATTTTTTTAGAATTTTTTTATATTTATTGACTGCATCGCCGCGATGCACACGCATTCGGACCGCATCGCCCCCCCCCCCAACGCTTTTTGCCACATCCCGCATTTTAAAACACTGGTAAAAAATAGTATAGTCTCAAATGATAACAAAAGAAAAATACTAACAGTTCATACCCCATTAGAAAATTCTTTCAAGTCTCACCATTGTTCTAGTCGCATAATATGAGGCCATAACGTTCATGTTATTGTTATGAATCAAAAGAGGGGCTCCCATTGCATAAATGCCATTAGAACTAGCTCAGAAAATTTAGTGCATGTTTGCTACTTGCGACCTGTTCTATTTCTGCCAAATTAGAAGGTAACTTTCTAACCTGTTAATGAAACCCCCCATTAATTTTCTGTACATTTAAAAGCTACGATCTTTAGCCATGGCTCCTGCCATTTCCCCTCAATAGTTGGAGGCAGCAGAAGTTTTTCTAGCAATGGATAATCCTACCTTTTAACGCTACGAGTTACAGATTTCAAATATGACAAGTTTGAGCCAGTTTTCCAGCTCAGTTAGAGCATAGAACACAAAAATTTCTCCAACATTGTTATCCATGGATGCCGCTTCCAATTTTCAGAAATCCGACTAAATCTTCCTTAAGAAGAGACTGACACAGTCAAAATGTTACCTTTGAACTTGCTAGTTCTCCTAAGTCAGCTAGTATCAGAGATTTCCAGTAAATTTAGTGGACTCCTAAGCAAAAACAGAACTTTCCATTTTTTCCCGTTTTTAATTTAATCAACTGAACGTCACATGTGAAAACTCAATTAAGGTAACTTAAAAGGCATAAACAAAACACAAAGATAAATTAAAAGGCATAAAAAAAACAGAAATAGTAACCTAACTGGAAAGAACAAGCAAGAAACAAGCATCACAGTCATGTACATAAAACCCTAAACCTGGAAATCACAGTACCAAAACAAGAAGAGGAGAAGCAAAGCTATAAACACCATTAATCAATAGAATAAGAACAAAATAAGTGCAAAATAAAGAAGAAAAGAAGAACATAAAAGAAGGGAACAAAAACAAAAACAAAAACAAAAACAAAACAAAAAGAAGTTAGAGAGTAAAGGAGAGGGCGGACCTTAAGAAATCGAAGAGAAGAACAAACAGATGATAGAGATTTCCTTCCACGCTGTAAATCGGAGAGAGAAAGAGAGGGAAACTGATTTCCCAAATTGTTGAGAGAGAAAGAGAGGGGGTGGGGGAACAAAAGAGGGATCACAGAGCTCAACCAAAGAGGGATCACAGGGCTTCGATTATTGGATTTATATGAGCGGAGCGGCTGCCCGATATTAAAAAAAGCCCTACCCACGGATCGATGGAATGAACGGTGGATGGATCTATCGGGTCCAACCAACAGTTTGGACTCGGAGGCTTTATCTATAACGATAAGCTTTCTAAGGCCGCGGGGATGCGAAATTTAGTAAGGCCGCATATCGAAACCTTGTATTTAGGAGCTTCATATTTCCTTGACGCAAAAATAACGCCTCAATATAAGGGGAAAGAGTTTGCATGAGGTTGCAACTTTAAATGGCAGAATTAAGGGGTCAAAACATATTTTTTAATATTAGAAATCTTTACTATTGGTTTAAAATTTTATTTTTATTTCTAATAATAAAATTTAAATTTCAAAAACAATGTAGGTCGAGCAAATTTATAAACATTTTAAAATCTTAAAAATTGACGGTCTAGATAATACATTACAAGATGCACTCTTTTTAGGTATGTACATTTTCTTTATGTATGTACATTTTGAGGTTGATATGATAGAATTGAGGGTTTTTTTAGCATTAAAACAACTTTTCTTAATGAATTTCAGCATCACATTTATATAACCGTTTTATTTACAATATTAAAAAACCCTCTAATTGATATATATAAAAATAAACAAAAAAGTTTCAAAGTCCAAAAAATAGTTCATCTTCTAATACATTATTTGGACAACCTATTTCAAGATTTTCATGGATTTATAGATTTACTTGATTTGAACTACTTTTAAAATTTAAAATTTATTAGTTAGAGACATAAATAGATTATCGGATCATCATAAAAAAATTTACACCAAAATTACATATTATGATAAAATTTAGAGGTGCATCTTACTTTGATTGCTTAAGGTTGCAACCTTATGCAAATCACATCTATACCAGATAGACGTGAACTACTTAAAAGACGAAAGGCGGATCACTTTTAAGGCTTAAAGTCCCATTTATTTTTTCAAATATGAGGTAGAGATGATTAATTTGTAAGTTTTTAATGGCAAAACTGTGCTTTGTCAAGAGATTTGAAAGACAAAATCTCAATTTTACCATATGGTTTTCGTATTTGAGATGAGGTTTTAGCTAGGCCGTAGCCCTTTTATATATTTGTAACGTGTTACAGGTAAGAAGATATTACATAAAAACTGCCCTTATATATATTTGTAACGTGTTACACGTAAGAAGGCGCTACATAAAAATTGCATCTCTAAGTGACTCAACCCGTTATGAACTTATTTATTTTGCTATTCCCAGGTGGTTCTAAAGTGATCTGCAAAAGAAAAAGCGATATAACAATGCTAATTTATGCGGCTGTTATTAAATGGTATCGCAGCGGTGATATTATGTCCCATTTTTATATGAAAAAGCTTATATAAACTTGATACTTTTTTTCTCTTTTTTTTTTTTTGACATTGACACCTCATATTGTATAACTAAGGTGCACCTCAAATATTCATCAAAAAATATTGTTTTGATGCTGGAAAACTAACTAATTGATTATATTGAGATATATGAATATGAAAAAAAAAAAATTAAGTCTCAGAAAAGTGCATCTTGCAACACATTATGTGGATAGTCCAATTTCAAGATTTTCATGTGTTTATAGACTTGTTTGAAATTATGGCCTTCAAAATTTTATAATTAGAGATGAAAATAGACTTTAGGACCCTCTTAAGAATGATAAAGTTTAAAGTTGTGCCTTACTTTAATTGTTTTAAGTTGAACCTTAAGCAAACCACATGTTTATATAAATAAAGAAAGGGTGAGGTTTGTTTAAGTTTGCCTCCTTATACTATAGAAGTAAGGCACACCTCTTAAATTTGCTAAGTGATGTTGTTATGGTAAGACACACTTCTTAAAAAAAATTTATTGAAGGCTAAAAAAGGACCGGGTGTAGACACAAAAGGACATGGTTGGAGAAAAGATATAAAGACTTATAATTTATTGAGAATATGGCCATTAATAAAGCATAAGGGCGGATCGGGATTTGTATTGCTGATCCCAAGTAGTTGGGCAAAGGCTATGACGATGATGATGATGAGTGATGTTATTATGGTGTCAAAAACTTAGGGCAGCTTGAAAATCTATTCTCGTCATTATAAATATAAAATTTTAAAAATGATATTGATTAAGCCAAACAATAAACACTTAAAAAATCTTGAAAATAGACGGTCCAGATAACTTTTTATAAGACTTATAATTTTTTTTTTTTATTTGTGCCCATACATCTCAAAGTCGAGATGATCAATTGAAGGGTTTTCCAACACCAAAACGCTATTTCTATAGGATTTTCATGTAGTACCTTACTTCAATAGTACAAGGTTGCAACCTTATATAAAATGTTCCCAAAAAGGAAAAGATTAAATAATTTTAAATAAGAGGCTTTTGTTTCTATTAAAAAAAAAAGTAAAGCCTCATCCCAAATTCATGTCTAAAAAAAATTTTTGGGCGTGGGAAATTCTTAAGATGGCTCTTAAATCTATTTTCACCATCAATTACAATATTTGTAGCTCAAAAAATAGTATAGTTCTTGTGGATCCGTGACCACTTGAAAATAGAAGGTCTAAACAATGTATTACAATATATATTGTTTTTTAATAAAAGCAAAATTCAAGAATCCTAGTTTTGAAAAGACAACAAGGGAAATATTATTCTTTTCTTTTGAGATAATGTAACAAGATAGGAAAGTATATGTTACATGTAACAAGATAGGAAAGTATATGTTACATATAAAAAGATAAAAAAGTATCCATTATACCATTGTAATACTATTATATATACAATAAAAACATCACATTAATGTGAGGTACAATTGCTTTTAATAAGTCCATTTCTCTCTCTAAAATTCTTCATGGGTGATAGCATTCCATCTAATTTTTCTTTCTATCGATCGCATATTCAAGTAAGTCTCTCTCTCTGTACCTTGCATCTCTTTCTTTTTGTTTTTAGCTGATCCTTCCTCACGCTCCATTGACTTTTTGATAAGCCCATCATCCTAACATCATTTTCAAATTCAAAAAAAAAAAAAAAAAAAAACAAAACAAAGGAAATAGCAAAATTAGATTTATCTTCTCCATCTTCTTCTCACGTCTTCTCACGTGACATCATCAAACCATTTATTTATTTTTTTCATACCATTATCACCTTCCAATCAAACCATTTTATTTTTCTCTCTTCCAAGTGTCTTCACACAGCCACCATCTTCTCCCGCCATCATCTTCTCACAGCCATAGTACCTTTTGACAGCCATCATCTTCATCAGATACCCGAGTCTTACTTCATTATTTTTCTTGCCATCTAGTCATGCTCTAAATCCGCAAAGATATTGACTGGTATTTGTTCTTTCTGATCCAATGGATACTCTATCCTCAATAACCAAATATCCCTATCCCTCTTCTCTAAACATAGGAAATTTTGTGTGGATTAAAATGACACGGAACGACTATTTGTTATGGAAAACCAATACTATCATTGATTGGGAGTCATGAACTTTATGAATTTATTAATGGTGATTACCTTATACTAAGTCAAAAGATTTCCTCTCCTGATGGTAAAAGTGAAATCGAAAACATAGACTACAAATTATGGACAAGTTTGTTCTTAAACCCAAGATCACAGGGACCCTATCATAAGAGTGTCTCAGTCTTGTGGTTGGCTTTAAGACTTCCGCAGAAGTATGGAAAGTTTTGAAGAATGCCTATGCAGGTAATTCTCATGCTATTCCAACTTACCCGCAACTCCAACTCGACAAGAAATAGAATTTGACCCTCTCAGAATATATACGTCGATTCAAAAGTATTTGTGATGATTTGGCTACTATTAGCAAACCTATACCAGATGAAAATAAGGTATTTCGGCTTCTTAATGGACTTGATCCACAATATGAGAGTTTTGCTACCATTATGCTTAAACCTCTTATTCCTTCCTATTCTGAAATTATACCACTTCTTCAAAGCCATGAGACTAGAGATCAGCCTCATATCTCTGAAGAACACCTATATCCATAGCAGAATATGGCCATTGTTGGACAACAAAGAAAGTTTGGACCTAACAAAGGTACTAGAAATTACAAAGGTAGAGGTAGACACAACTTTGATAGTCAACATGTTTTCAATTATTGGGGGCATGGATTTGCTTAAACATGCCAGAACAATAATGGGGGACGTTGTGTACCTCAGACAAACCAAGAAAATGGTGTACATATATGCAACACATAAATCAAAGGTTCCAACAAGATTCACAGATCCAACAATTAGCCTAGATATCCTAGGAAAGTGTCAAATTTGTAAAAAATTTGGATATTTTGTATTAAAATGCTGGCACCGATTCCATCATATGTACCAAGAAAAAGACATCCATCAAGCTCCTAATGCAGTGACTATAGCAAATTCCTAAGATTAGGAATGGTTCCCAAACATTAGTGCATCAACTCATATGACAGGAGACACAAGTAAACTGCAAAACTTTCGCCCCTATAGAGGTAGAAACAGTCATGGTTGGCAATAGTAAGCAATTGACTATTTCACATGCAGGTGATACAAATATTGATGTTGGGTCTAAAAAATTTAATATTTCTAATGTTCTTTTGGTATTAGAGATGAAAAAGAATTTATTAAATGTTAGCCAATTTACAAAATATTTTCCTTGTGTTTTTTAGTTTTCATCAAATGGTTTTCTAATTAAAAAAAGGAGTACAGGGAGAACTCTAGCCAGCGGGAGTAGAAAGGGTGGAATTTATGCACTTGAGGGTGTGAAGGAAGCTTTATTTTCTAACCGAAATAAGAGAACATCAAAATATGTGTGGCATCAACAACTCAGACATCCTCAAAATAAAGTAGTTTGCTACTTAGAATCTAAATATTTGATTAATGTTGATATATTCAATAAATCTCATTATATTTGTGCTATCGACAGATGGGAGAAAGTTGTAAACTCCCGTTTAGTAGTACTAATAAGACCTCTACAGAACCTCTTTGTAAGATTCATTCATATTTATGGGGTCTTGCTCCAGTTT